TAGAAATAGCGGGCCGTCACAAGGAAGTGATCTCAATCGGGCCGAAAAAGTGCCCGATTGAGATATGGTCGCACAGACATATTAGAAGAGCATAAAACTTAAGCCTGTCATGGATGACACCTATCAGTGATGGGCCGTAGTTTAGGCTCGATTGAGATAACATTCCATATCTCAAACGGGCCTGAAGTTGGGGCCCGTCACAGATGACCATCATCCGTGACGGGCACCAACTTTGTGCCCGATTGAGATAACATTCTATATCTCAAACGGGCCTTAAGTTAGGGCCCGTCACAGATGACCATCATCCGTGACGTGCACCAACTTGAGGCCCGTTACAAATGACTCATCAGTGACGGGCTATATACTAATCCCCGGTTGACATGACTTAATATCTATCGGGCATTAACTAAAGCCCGTCACCGAGTATTTTTTCCATTTTTTCTATGAAATGTTTATATTTGTAAGTTGAACTATAGCAAAATAATTAACTTGCAGTATAATAATTCAATTTATGAGTCAAATAATTTTACGCGTAGTAAATGATATCAAATGGAAAAGTCATCAACAACAAAGTTGTATAACTCATCAAGATCAATAACTTTTATTTTGGTCATTTTTCTATATAATAATTTTGGAACAGTTTGAATTTGAATTTGAAAATATGATAACTTCAAACAACATTTTCAAATACTAAATGATTTCAACTAAAAAAGTTATCAACAACAAAGTTGAATAACTCATTAAGATCTATAACTTTTATTTTGGTCATTTTTCTATATAACGTTTTTTAAACCGTTTGAATTTGAATTTTAAAATATGAAAACTTCAAATAATATTTTCAAATATTAAATGATTTCAACTGAAAAAGTTATCAACAACAAAGTTGAATAACTCATCAAGATCTAAAACTTTTATTTTGGTCTCTTATAAAACCTGATAAGAGATATGTCAATTTTGTGAACAATGTTACTATCACTTTAGCAGATAAAGAAATGACCAAAATAAAAGTTTTAGATCTTGATGAGTTATTCAATTTTGTTGATAACTTTTTCAGTTGAAATTATTTAGTATTTGAAAATGTTGTTTGAAGTTGTCATATTTTTAAATTCAAATTTAAACGGTTCAAAAAATATTATATAGAAAAATGACCAAAATAAAAGTTATAGATCTTGATGAGTTATACAATTTTGTTATTGATGACTTTTTTAGTTGAAGTCGTTCACTAACAAAAAATTCTATTTGAATTTCTTAAACTTTGAATTTCAAATTTCAAATTGTTTAAATATAGTTAGATGGAGAAATGACCAAAATAAAAATTTTGCACCTCGATGAGCTCTACAACTTTGGTTTTGGTGACTTTTCCATTTAAAATCATTTATTAACCCTAATTTTTGTTCCAAGTTGTCAAATTTTGAAAATTCAAAATTTGAATTGTTCAAATGAAATTATTTGTACAAAGGACCGATACAATAGTTGTAGATCTCGATGAGTTATATAATTTTGTTGTTTATAATTTTTGATGGTTGTGTATGTGAATGAATGTATATGAATGAGGGATGTTGGGGTGTGACATCCTGGCCTAGGGCTTAATAGGACTAATAGAATACTCACTATAACTACTCTTCCGAAAGCTGATCTCCAAAGAACTTTGATGTTAAGCGTGCTTGGCCTGAAGCAATTTCGGGAAGGGTGACCCATCGGGAAGCTCTTCCCAGGTGCACATGAGTAAGGACAAAAAAGACTGGCTCTGAGAGACGCGGGACGGCATGCCTAAAAATAAATTTTTTTTTGGCATTATACTCATCTATGACGGGCATTAACTTAGGCCCGATTGAGATGACTCATCTGTGACGGGCATTAACTTAGACTCGATTGAGATGACTTATCTGTGACGGGCTATAGTTAATACCCGTCACAGATAAGGGTCATCTATGACGGACTATAGTTTGACTGGTCGTCTGGGTCAAAGCTATCGATGACGGGCTTTAATTATGGCCCGATTGAGATAGGTTCATCTGTGACGGCCGTTTGTCCGATTGAGATAACTTTTCATATCAGTAACTTCTAGCCTGTGACGGACGCCATGCCCGATTGAGATGAGGGTTGCCGCCCGATTGATATGATGGTATCTGTTCTAGTGGGTGGACTTTCGAGCATGTGCTGTTGGCAGTTGGGGGCGACCATATTGGATGAAGATGGTTTACTGGGAAGGCATGCAAGAGTTACGTTGGAACATGTCAGCTAATTCATCCGTCAGTACGAGTACGTGTGCATCCATCCATCCACACACTGATCCTATTGCCTGTCTGAGGAAAACAATACTACTACTGGTGGCTGGTCACAGTAGCAGATATATTTGATGCTAGTACCATTTGTAAGTTCGCTGATTAATTTGTTCACAACAGTGTCGTCAGAGATAGTTCCTACCACGAGATAAGAACGTGAATGTGGATGCGACTGGTGATTGAAATAGATGGCTGCATTTGTTGTACCGAAAAGCCATCTGCAATATCGTGATATCAACGTTAATTATGCTTGCTTGTTTGACTAACCAACAGTTAGAGTTTTCAAATTTCTTGTGCGATAGAGATTGCCGATATATGTGTTGACGGCATCTTTGCCCGCTTCCCGTGGGACCCAATCGGATCCTAACGAGAAATAAACTGCATCGTCCATTCTAAAATGGATAACATACTAAATGCTTATAGTCAAATCTCCACATCTTAATTCATTAATACATGTGTAGAAATATTAGGATTTGGTATGTGAAAACGATGTTGATTAGATTTTTTATGAAAAAACATTTCATGTGTTTTATTTTTAATATTTTTTATCAATATATAGCTAGAAACATAAATGATGAAACATTAATAACTGGAAAAAGTCCATTTTACTCCCTAGAACAAATTAAATGAATCTGTTAACCCCCTAAACTATTTTCGCCTTATTTTATCCCCTAAGCTAGTGAATCTGTTCTCTTTTTAAGTTCCATTTTAAGCTGAAATTATTTGTTAAGAGATATAGATGGTACTGTTATAAGAGTATAAAAATATTTCCAATTTTTTCATGGTTGTTTGCTTGAACCTTAAAGTACTAAAGTTTTGATATTTAAATCAGTATTTAATTCAGTATTAAGTGCTTCCAGCCTACGTAAATAGTGAGAAATAATTTCAGAAAAAAAAAAGTTAAGACGATGTAAGTTGTAATGCATTTATCATCCTCTACCAAGTTTTCAGCGCAAAATATGACTTATCTGGAGAAAAAAAGAAATAGTGTTAGGGAAGTTAAGTGAATAATGTTCAGGGTGTAAAATGAGAAAAAATAGTTTAGGGGTAAGTGTTTTGTTGAAATAGTTTGGGGAGTAATTAAAATGGGGTCTTTCCCTTAGTTATATACACATAAATTTTGTCACTGTCTAAAATGTCAAGTGAAAAAGAACGAATGTAGCATCATCCTTGTCATGATCTCCAATCATCCACGTAGATCACTGCTCACCAAACGTCCAAACCTATCATTGTGTTATTATGCGCTTGAATGTACTTGCATGTTTCCAAGCAAGTTGGATACGTGGGCAACTTTGCCAACTTATCTGTGTTTTGAAAATAATTTAATTTACAAACAAAATGTTTTGAAAGGTCAAAAAATGCAACTAGATTCCTAAAAAACAAATAATATTCAAATGAAACTTAATACATAGAACACTAATTCCTAACAGGAAAACGTTAAAATCAAATTGAAGTTGTGACATGAACAAATGAAAAAGAAATTGTAAATAAACACAAAATCAATTTAGTCAAAGCTTGTAACGTACCATTTGGAATGGAACTTGCAGTAAGACAGCAAATTCAAAATTGGCAGGGCCGAAATAATCGATTCTTAATTAGATTTTGAATTAACTAGCTAGCTTGGGGAAATACTAGATTCAACTATGAGAGCTACTAATGTTATTAAAGAGAAGATGAAATATATATTATTTTACAAATAAATAGCGATAGATGAGAAGTGCAGGAAAATATAAAGTAAATAAATAAGCACGTGAACATATAAAAAGATGAGAGAAACCCCAGAACCCTTTTGTGGCTGATTTTACCCCTAAACGATTGGAAAAGGTTCGCTTTACACCTTAATATCATTTCTCTTATTTTACTCTTTATACAAGTTGTATTTTAAGTTCAAATTAGTTATAGCCATAAACGGTACTGTTATCAAAGTTGAAAAATGGTACTATTACCAGTAAAGTTTTGTATTTAAATCAGTCTTAAGTGCTTTTAACCTACGTAAACAGTGAGAAAAAAAATCAAAAATAAAATGTTGACACATAAGTATAGAGAAGGAAAAATAGTGTAAGAGGAGTGAAGAGTGAACCATTTTCAATAGTTCGGGAGTGAAATGAGAAAAAGAATGGTTTAGAGGGTTAAGTGGTCCAGTGAAATAGAAGTAAGGAAATGGAATGGACTTTTTTTTCCAAAATATAAAGCAACTTAACAAGTAAATTTATGTCATAGAAAAATTGTACTGTTCTTTTTATATTGCGCAAATTTTGGGCATATCTTTTGTAAACCTCGCTGATTTAAAAAAAAAAATCATTATAAGTCGATTGAGAAATACTTTCTCCGTCTCAAAATATATAAGTATTTTTTAGATGGTTACAAGTAGCAAGAAAGTAGGTGAAAATAATTGGAGAAATATTATGATTGGTTGAGAAGATAAAGTTGGTGAAGAAATTGAATAGAGAACGGTTGTGATTGGTGAGACTTGAGAGGATGATAAGTACAGAAATAGTTTTATTTTGGGACAAGGCACTGTAATAGAAATAACTATATTTTATAATTGTGATGGTAGCAAAGTTAATTTTGGATCAAATCAATTTTCTCTATGCCACTTTATATTTATGAACAAGTGGATCATGAGCATTGACTTTCCAAGATGTGAACAAGACTGCAATAAATAACAAACGAATTGAAGGATCGATCGGCCCGGCCGGGTCGAAGGTAGTTGCCGTATAAGAATGCCCTATGGCGGCATGGCTCATCCATCCATCGACTAGTCATTGTACGTAGCCACACCGGTCCAACCTAAGCGAGAGCTAATGGAAGCTCTAACTAGCTCGCCAAATTAGCTAGTCACCATCACTATATCTTCCTCTATGTGTAATATGTACTTGCAATAACTAATAAGAAGATTTGCCTCCTAATCAGACAACTAATTAGCTTGATCTGACAGCGTGCATTCTGACGAGTCGTACGTGCATCCTGACACGGCGTCGATCGTTCGAATATATAAACACAGCTGCGCTCTACGCCAACAACTAACTGTCCGTGTGCGAGTTGCGACCTTGCTGGAAAACTTGTACCTAGAGCTAGCTGAAGGAAGCAATATGGCCACCGTGGATGGCACAACGGCGCCGAGCTCCGGCGGCAAGACGGCGACGGTGGCGTTGGAGTCGGGCGGCGGCCGCTACGGTGGGCCGGCTCCGGCGAAATGCTCCGGCGCCAACCTGGCCCTGAGGGCGCTGCTCTTCGCCGTGTCGCTGTCCGCGCTCGTGGTGCTTGTCACCGCCAAGCAGACGGTGATGGTCCCGTTCGTCATCCGGCCGCCGCAGTTCATCCTCGCGCCGGTCCCCGCCAAGTACACGCACTCACCGGCGCTCATGTGAGTACACTAAAAAATAATTAATATGTTATTGATTTTGTTTTTTTGCTTTGTTGTACTGGATATATGTACTATTGTGTACTACTCCTATATATGTTGTTGACTTTTGGGATGGTTTTTGGCTGTAGATATCTGCTGGCTGCGCTGTGCGCGACGTGCTTTTACAGCCTGATCACGGCCATCAGCTCGGTGAGGTTGCTCTCCAGCTCGGCTTGCTCTGCCAAGACGCTCTTCTACCTCATCCTGCTTGATGTGGTGAGCTCTCTATGCATGCGTAAACTGTTTCAACACGGCATATGCATGCATGGTTACCGAACTACTACTGCTCTTGCGATCGTTAATTATCCTGTCAAATAGTAGTACTAACTAAATAGTATATGTATGACCGTCGATTTTTCGACGTACAGACGTAGCATCCCCCTAGCTGATGTAACTCGGGCATATTAGTCAGAGCATAGAGTTATACTATCAAAATTTAATCAAAGTATTTTAAGAGGGAACGACTAATTCAATCAATCACAGTATATATACTCTATATCGACGGATGATTGGAAAGGTAGCCTGCAGATATTTCGTTATAGAAGTAGTAACGTTAATTGAAGTATATACTGGTCAGTTTCACCGCCTTGACTTGGCTAGTATGAAAACTAAAGCAAAGGAAAAATATTCAACAAATTAATATCAAATCACACACACTACGTACGTACGACAAGTCATGGTGTGTGAAATTCAACGAACATATCAGGGGATCGGACACACTAATAGATGGTCCTCCCTCTGTGTCAAAATGTTTGACACCGTAGACTTTTTAAAACATGTTTGATAATTCGTCTCATTCAAAAAATTTAAGTAATTATTAATTCTTTTCCTATCATTTGATTCATTGTTAAATATATTTTAATGTATACATATAGTTTTACATATTTCATAAAAGTTTTTGAATAAGATGAACAGTCAAACATGTTTAAAAAAGTCAACGGCGTTAAACATTTAGGGAAGGAGGGAGTATATAACGCGACGTATTTAAATTTAAAAGGGATGGAATTTTTATATTTCTGACCAATTTATTTTTGCTCTTGTGTGCAAATTCGTGGCAGTTCTACGCAGCCGTGATGGCGTCGGCGACCGGGACAGCGGGGGCCGTGGCGTGGGTGGGACTGAAGGGGAACTCCCACACCCGGTGGAACAAGATATGCAACGTCTACGGCAAGTTCTGCCGCCACATCGGCAGCTCCACCTTCCTCGCCCTCATCGCCGCCATCGTTCTCGTCCTCCTCGCCTTCCTCAACGCCTACTCCCTCTACCGCCGAAGCCGTTGATTCATTCCCCATGAACTTGTTTGCTGCCGCCGCCCCCGGACCGTAGAGTTGCTTGCTTCCGTCGTCGCATCGACCGTCCGTGTGTGGATGGATTCTTGTGTTTAATTAGTTTTTGTCCCTAAGTGTTTGAAACATTTGGGTGGTGTGATGTTTTTTTAGTGCTTGCCGGCCGTATATGTTAGCTGTTGTCTCACATCTCCGGAAATTCAACGTTATCCTCTCAGTGATATATAATGTTTCATGGTTGAACTAATGAACTAGAACATGTACGTTAACGTTGTCGCATTCCGTTGCATCAAATTTTACTATCATTCGTTGTGTGGATCGAGTCTTGTGTAGCAGAAACAAAGTATTCCAGTTAGGTGATCTATATGTTGTTATCGACCGAGAAATATAATGTTTTGCAGGTAGCTTTGCGCCTGTGTTTACGTGTAGCGGCTGGCCCTGAAAGCTTACCTATATACTTCCTCCGTCTAAAAATATAAGCATTTTTAGCTATAAATTTGGAACAAAGGGAGTACTACATATATTTGGGTCATATATATTAATTTAATGGTAAAATTTATCGCATGACACTAAAATTTTATGTAATTTAATGGGAGACACCGCAAAATCACGTCACTGTGTTGATGGACATGGAAAAATTCATGCAATTTTCTGTAGTACATGTAACATACCCAAAAATTTAAATTTCAAATTTTGCATCTAAAATTATTCAAAATGATGTTCTTAAATAAAAATCTAAAAATTTTCCATCTAAGACCTAGATATGTCTAATATAGCTAGTGCGCTTATGAAAAATTTGGAAACAATTTAAAACTTTTTCCTTGCTAATTTAAAATGAAAATAAAGCATAGGGAGTGCTTGCATTTTGCATGATTGTTTTGGTGTGACTTGAGTCCTTTGTGTCTTTCTGGATTTCAAATGCACTTTATAATATAAATAGGTGTCATGAGCATTAAGTAGAAACTTAAATGAACTAATGTCGCATTTTCGAAGATTTATACAACTTAACTAATTAATACAACATGGCATTTGTTATATTCCATAATCTGAGGTCATGTATAAGCTAATTATAAATTTAATGAGTATTTAGTTGCATCTCCATATTAGGAACACATGGATAACATCAAACCTACACAGATTGTAAAACAAATTGGTGCAAGATAAAATAATGGAATAAGGGAACCCCAGCCAGTCTAGAGACGAAAAGACGTGGATAAGCTGCTAGCGCTGAATCTTTAGGACCGGTGGTTCTCTAGACACGCGTCGCACATGCCCAGCGACACCCGATTCAGCCAAACAGGCAAAATTGTAACCATGGCACCATTTCGAGCAGGCTGGGACTCGCCAGGCCCACCACTCACCACGTGGTGAGCATGCTGGCGCACCCACCTGGCCCAAATGTGAGCCCGAGGAGCCTGGGGTATTGTAATCATATTTGTTAGGTAGGTTTCTCGGGGAATTTTTGGAGGGGACTAGCCGGTGTTGACAAGAAGGCCGAATGACAAGGCAAAAAGACTAGTAGCACTGTGAGCTCCTTCTTATACTATAACAGAAAAGGGACATGCTACATAGAAAGGGTTGCTTGTTTCTAACTTGGAAAAGACAAAGTTTGTATTTCACCAGATCCATACCAACAAAGAAACAGGAGTATGGTATTACACCTCCGGTGGCCTGAACCTTTATAAATCTCTTGTGTTCATCTGCTTGGCAGGGAGCTTGGGCCCCGCAGATTGTCTTCTTGATTGTCGTGTGCAACTAACCCCTGGTCAGATCTTCATTTTTAGGGAGGGGTCTTCTGCACTTCCCTGTTGTCGGAGAATCGCCTCTCCAACAATGTGCAATGGGAATTTTTTTGTCACAGGCATATATAAGTTGCGTACTGTTAATTCCAATGTCCCCTTTCCTTCCTTCATTGTAAATACAGCTGAAGCATGTTGTTTTCAGTAAATTATTAAAGCTAACAAATTTAGTAGTCTTAATTGACACGCCTAGCTTGGCTAGCTCTTGTATGTTATATATAGCCGCGCTGCCTACCAGAGGACCTCCGTTGCTTTTCCATTTCACCATACATACACATAAGTTTGTACAGAAGTTCCGTTGTTATTGTTTCTTTGAATGGGAGAGGGATCTGGAACGGCGAGAGTGGATCAAACAAACATTTGAGCCTGAAACATAGTGATGTCGCACCTGTTTAATTTCCATGAACTCCTAAACTAATGGCACAAAGTAAGGGGGACAAACATGTGGAACATGCGTACATCAGCACAATATGCTTTTCCATTATTAGTCCCTTAGATTCCGTTCCATCTGAAAAATAAGGGAAAACCTCGTGTTTCGTCGGAATTGAGTGATTTTGTTTGCTCCATTGAGCAATATTATTTTGTCCCATGAGCCCAAACAATATCCAAAATTGAATCGGAGTATTTCTACTCTCGTTTGGTCTGCCACCAGTAGATCGAGCGACCACCATTTATGGTGAATTAACAAGACTAATAATATGCCCGTGCTAAACGCTACGGTACAATTCTATTTGTCTTTAATAATTTTTAAAATTTCATGTTAGCAAAAAAAATTTTATATGATTTGTACATTTGAGCTTTAATAACCTCCGGCAAGGCCAGGTCTGTTTTGTGCTTTGTCCGTGAACATTATAGCTATTCACTTGACATTTTCCCCGTATCGTTTTACTGCTGATTAATCACGTTATAATAAACCATCTTTTCTTGATTCACATAGAGCCATAACTGAGCATTGCAATGCTATAATCATTTATGTAGGTGAAAATGCTAAGTACATTAAAGCGATATGATGGATAAGTCATGACATTGCGTGTAGAGTCAAATATAGATCTGAAAGACACAATCGTATGCAACTGTAAAAAAAATTGGTTCAAACGCAATTATGAATATCTCAAGATATATGGCCCTGCAATGTTATGCGGTTCGTGTCAATGCCCAGAGAATATATAGGGAACAATAATCACCAATCGATCAACAATGCATAGTGTTATGGATTGAACAACCCATGTCACGTGTACAGTTGCATGAGCTATCTTCTATATATTTCCGGCGCTACATATAACTTCGATGTTCATTTGTGTTATTCACATGGGATGTCTATTTTCCAGGCTTACATCTCAGCCAGTTCTCAAAGTTGTGTAGAATGAATGATGTCTCACCCAATTTCTCCATTATCAACTTGTTTTCTTCAAAAGTAGCAAAGCTTTCTATCTACTTCAAGAAGCACTCCCCCAGTTAATTACACTTATTCTGCACATGTGTAAAATAATTAGCAATCCATAAGAAGCATGCACACAAGCATTATAGATAGAAGAATAAAAAACTATTAAAAAGGATTCGGTGGCTGAAAAAAAAATGAAAAACATACTGATTTAATCATTTAAGCTCACAGCCAAAGTTCAGACAAGATAAAAAAATGGAGCTATCTCAGAATCATTCTAAAGCTTGCTGTCTCCTATTCACATGCTTTAAAATAGATTTGAGTTTAATAATTGCGCGTAGTCTTTTATGAGAGTCGATGGTTTTCCATATCCAACTTGTTATGAGAAATGTGAGAAAATAAAGTTCTGTTGAGCTGTATTTTATAGTCAACAGTACTGCAGAACCAAATGTTCGAAGCAAATGCACAGAAACTTTGGTGTTTTTCCCTTACAAAGCAAGTTACTGAAAATTTATAAACACATTTTCAAATATGTGACGATACGCTTTGACTTTTTAGATGGCTTGCTAGCAGACAAGAGCGAAAATACAGCTTCGTCCGAGCTATTTGATGAACGCACAAGCACCTCTTCTTTATGAAACTCAACAGATCCAACTGATCCTGTGTGCCCTAATTAGGATATTTCTCTCAATTAATTTAAGGCTGTTACCAGAATTTTTATTTCAAATGCTTCCTTGAACTACAACAGTTCGGATATCTCTCAAATGCAGCTGATGTAGATAGCCCTAATTGAAGAAACAGTATATTTCTTTCGAAGTTGCAACTCAATTTTTTCTTGCTTTTTTACGTACCTTCGTACATCTAATTTTAGGTTTCTACTATACCATAGATACTTGTAATCCAAACATCCTTTTTAAGACGTACATGCAATTGGAGACCACTGAAGTGACCAGCCACTGCCAGGTTGTGGTCTCTGCTTCTTCTAATAAGTAACCGGGTTTCTTCAGAACCGACGGATCAAATTCTACACTCATTCCAAAATACTGGCATGGTTATATTATGCATAAAAATTCAGAATAAACTGAAAGGTTGATTTCAAATACTACAGAGTGAGGATGGTTATTATAAAAATTTCAGAACATGAACCAGTTGCTAATCCACGGCTGAAATCCAACCAGCAGAGTGAGGGTTCACCCTGGAGCAAAGCAGCTGTGCATCATTAGTTACCATGGTTAGGCCCTGCAAGTCAAATACGAAAATGAATCAATCAATTAAGCTGAAAGTAGCGTAAAAGATTCTACCTTGTATCTGAACTCTGAAGGAAGCAGTATGATTAAAGAGGATCACACCATCCATTATGCACTTCATGAACAGCATAGATATCCTTATTCATTCAAACCCCCTGATCTGATAAATGAATCGATGGAGTCAACATGGATAGCAGTTTTCATTTCATTTTTTAAACAACGAGTCCCCCTTCAGCCTGAAACAATGAACAGTCACAAATGTATCAACTTTGATTTAAGAAAAAAATCATAGAAGTAATTTAGTTTGTTATGATAGACCATCCTCTATAAAATTGCAACTATCAGTCTCACAAATAGAGAACTGATTAATGATTAGGTCATGCCATAGACTATTCAATTTTAGTTCTGGGAAGTTCAGTTTTCTAAACATAGCTCAATCAGCTATATAATCACACAATACTCCAAGCAAAAGAGCACATGCAAAAATAGTCCTTTATCGTCTCTTGTTGACTGAAAAAGCTTTATTGTCTTTCCCATTTTTTGAATGGAGTGGCCTGACTATTTCTTATGACACCATAATGACCAGAACCCGAAGAAAACATTGCCAGGTTAAAACTGAACCATGTATTCCGTAGGCTAGTAGCAACCCATACAGCAGCTGAATTTTTCAGAAATGAGAGTGTTTCATTTCACCATAGTTTCAGAATTATATTTTCAGAAATGTTTAGACAAAATAATAATCTGTCCCCTGTCTCCATGAGCAATCAAATTTCGAAGCTGGCACCATAAGTTAGCATCGCTCCAGATTCTATTTGAACTGACATACAACTTAAACGAGAATAGTGTACCAAATATACAGGAACAACTGAAAACATATATAGGGTGAATAATGTGAGGATATCTAAAAAATGTGGAATTTTCAGGAGTGGAGCTTATGACCTCTTCTGCATTAAGTGGATGTTTTAACAGCTTGCTTCTCAACGCTAAACTGATCTACCAAGCTGAACTGCAGAGAACAGGCAAACCATCATAAGATGAAAGAACCGGATTCGGCGGTGACTCTTGGAGGAGCCATGGGCGATGGTCAATGGCGAGCGGCAGGAAGCCCAACGGGAGATCGAGGCATGGGGAATCGACGATGCAGGATGACGATTTGCGCTATGAGGGGCCGGCGACGAGCGGAGACAGGACAATCGGCAACAATACCTGAGGATGAGGGTGAGAAGGGAGGGGATCGACGACGGGGAGGCTCGTGCGACGGCGAGTGGGCGGGTGACGGGATGGATGTGGGCGTGAGGAGGGTGTGCGAATGAAAAGGGGGAGGAGATTGGGGCGGTTTCCGGCGTCAGCGGCGGAGACGGCGGAGGGAGGCGTGGGAGGGAGGTGCGGTTTCTGGGAGGGTTGTGGGAGGAGGAGGTGCATGGGGAGGGGGCGTGGGAGGGGCGCGATCGGGAGGGAGGCGTCGATGCCGTCCGATACGACTCATCAGATTAATTTGGATAATTGGATATGTGACATGATGAATGATGAATGAGTAAAACTATTTGTTTAACTATAGCCTAGACTAGTACTAAGATCACCTTATACTATCTTTTATGCCGGCGTTTTTCTTTAGACCACCATTCAGCTAATGTTTTCACTTTAGACCGAGTAATCTTGCAATTATTTCACTTTGAAGCACTCCGACTTGCTTCTTAACCATATGAACGACCATCAACTACACCAGCTCCTATTCGTAATAAACTCCATCAGCTATATATGTTGACCGTTACTTTGACATATGACAAATTGGATATAAATGGATAAAAGAGTTGAGAGTGATCCAAAGTACCATAAAGGTAAAATTACCCGGTCGAAAGTGAAAAAATTAGTTGAAGGGTGGTCCAATATGAAACACGAGTAATAAAAGATGACCCAAAGTATACTCAAATCTGTATTATAGATATGTGAATGGAAACTCTGAAATAAAACTGTTCCATATAAGGTTCGAGGAGCGAGCAATCCTTCCTAGCAACATCATTTAGGAATGCAAACTATATCAACTGGTGATGGTGGTAATTCACTCTGAGGGTATTCTGGCTGTAGATTGGCAAGTAGGCTGAAACAGACTATGACAGTTGTCTTGGCAAAATATAATGGTAGTCCTAATTGTCTTCGAGTCCAATAATGAACAAAAGATATATAAACCAAAATGCCATACACAATTGGAATTCATACACAACTACCAGCTATTGCTGCTCTCAAATGTCACCATTCTAGCTATTTGCTATCACAATCTCCACAGCTCTCCCCATACACAAGTGGCTCGCCTGCAACCTAATGGCCCCCTTTACAAAAAATGATTTGTGTAGTAATGAATATTAAGTTAGTAACTCACAGAATCACAGTGACGAGGAGTACATTACAAGCGACGGGCTTAATTTGCGATAAATTTGTAGTCCAAGTCTGAAACAGTAATAAGTATTGGTGAGCACCTACAGCCTCAAGCCTAGCAGAGCAGAGCTAGCCATCCATGTATACGCATGTTGGCATCTGTTCAGAAAACTGCTTCACCTTTCAAGATCGTTATCTTACCATAACAATTTCTGCTCCACTCCCCTGATTCAATCTCCAGAAATTGAGGTGACAAGATAGAAAAAAAAAGGAAACAAACCTTACAATGTATCTAGAAGTTAAAAGTAGACAGAAATTTATTCTATAAATTAAATATGTAAGAATGGTACAGGTATTGGGAATGGAACGACGGTCGCAAGCATATGCTGCCTGGGCTGTCCAGTTAACATGAAGAAGACACATCTTAATCGTTTTCTCCTGTCACCTCTGGCATCATATATATTGCTATTTTAATTTTGTTCTTAAACCATATTCTATGTCCAAGCTAAAAATAAACATGTTATTCCAGTACTGTGATGACAGAAAGAATGGCTCAAATTACATATATTTCTCAATAATCTGAGTAGTACCAAATTTAGTATTCACTGTGGTTTAAGGACTATTTATGATCATAATTTCCATGTTTATCTAGAAGCATTTATTTCTTTTGATTGGCTAATATATTAGTATAGTATTATGTTTATCAACTTTATATTTACTCAGGTCTAAACTTTCTAAAAGACGAGAATGGGCTATGTCAATTTGTACTTCACTAACCGTAAGTCTGTAAAACTACGAGCTGGAGTATATATGTTTTATATACCATCTACACTGCCATTTCCATTTTTCTTTGTTATACCTCAGATATATGTTAGCAACCTTCTTCACCAAATTAAATAGCAACAATCTCTAATTCAACTCAATCACATGTATTTGTTGGAAAGTGGTAAGAAATAAGCTATACATGATTCTAGAAGGTTCTAGAACATTATAGAAGAGATAGTATGAGGAGTTGAGAGGGATAGAGACATTCACAAGGTTCAATTCATGCGTAACCAGATCACCACTCCCGAGCCTCTAATGCCTTTCTTCTATTCGATGCCCATAAATTCAGCTGCACAAGCTTTTGTTCCCTATCACTTGGGCTTGCTTGGGCCTTTTGTGCAAGAGCACCTAACCCAGCCCATGATGCGCCCATTCGTGGCATGAATTTTTTTTATTTATAATTTTTATTATTAAAAGTTTTACAAAAATAATTTTCCATTTTGAAAATTGACGGAAATAGTCGCCTACCGCCCTCTGGGAGGGCGATTTTTAAAAATCGCCCTCCCAGAGGGCGGCGAAAATGACGTGGCAGACGGCCGTTCGCTCTCGGGCGACGGCCGTCAACGAAATTTGCAGGCGGCCCCCTTGCCGCCCTCCGCGAGGGCGATTTTGTACTGTGCGGGGGGCCGCCTGCAAATGGGCGGCGAGGGGGGGCATGGAAATTTGCAGGCGGCCCCCTTGCCGCCCTCCGCGAGGGCGATTTTGCACTGTGCGGGGGGCCGCCTGCAAATGGGCGGCGAGGGGGCATGGAATTTTGCAGGCGGCCCCCTTGCCGCCCTCCGCGAGGGCGATTTTTGCCTCCCCCTTATAAAGCCCAGCCCCTCCCCTATGAAATTTCATTATATTCACTAAAAATCCAAAAAAAACGAAAGAGAGAGAGAGGGGAGGGCAGCAGAAGGGGAGCGGCGAAGCCCTGCTGGTTCGCTCACTTCATCACAGGTATGCTCCCATACATCTTTTGCATTTGTACTAATATATTACGTTTGAGTACATATGTTGCGTTTTAGTTTTAGTTCCATATATTTTAGCAGATCTGTAGCACACAGCACATATGTGTAGATCCAGAGCATAGAATATAATAGTATGAATTGAGACATAGACAGTAGTGTTAATTGTAAGATGTAGTTTAGTTTGATCTGGAGAATGTAACCTACTTTTAGAAATTTAGAGAACAATATTGTAGAGAATGTAACTTAGGGCGTAGTACAGAAATGCGAGGTTAACGCGGTTATTGTTTTCATCAGGCACAATGTCAAGTAAGGTCACATTTCAGATAGTTCACGGTGAAGGAAATATTAGATTTGGTCCAGATGGTGTTGATCTGTCAGATTTTGTAATGACATCTAAGGGCATCGATAGGCCTGCGGAGAGAACATTTCAGTCAATTTATAGTTGGTTGTTGAGAGGATTTAGAATAGACCAAGAAGTCTACACAATGTCAGTATCTGTTGTAGTGAGTCGTGCAATAGAAGGTTATTTTTGGGAACTAATACCGATGGACAGCACTGCTGCTTGGAGACGGTATGTGGAAATGGCTTTTGAACGGTCATGGCCCCTCGTTATATTTGTGTCGGTACAAGAGAAAGATACAAATGTTTCAATGCAAACCGAAGATGTGGAGGGTCCTAGCAATGCAGGGGATGTTGTTGGACCATCGATGCAAAATGAGGAAAATCAACCAAGGGAGGAGCAGGCCATGGGCATGGCGGATGAGGGGGAGAGAGTCGGTATAATTGTTGATGAAATGGAGAGGGAAGATTCGGATAATGAGCAAGCGGAGGACGACGCATCATCCGATGAGGAAGGTGATGTAATGGCCACTGATTGGGCAAATGAGGACTTCTCTGGTCTTGTTATATCAGAGGGTGATCATGTACCCTGGGAGTATAAGGAGTACGAGGTAATTGAGGGTGCAAGGTATGCTCATAAGGATGAGATGAAGGAGGCGGTGAAGCATTGGGCAGTTTCATTGCAGAGAGAGTTTAGGGTGGTCAAGTCAACAAATTATGTGTATGAAGTGAGGTGCATGAAGGAAGATTGTCCGTGGCGTGTCCATGCATATAAGGGTAAATGGAATGATTATTGGAAAGTTAGCATTGTGACCGAGCACAAGTGCTACTTACAAGGGGTGGAGAAGTATCACCGAAACATCACTTCAGCTTTTGTGGCAAGTGAGATGTACAGCAGTGTTGTTGGTAACATTGGCTTTGAACCAAAATCAATTATTAGGCACATCGAGAACAAATTCAAGTACACCATAAGCTATGCAAAGGCCTGGAGAGCCAAACAAAAGATCATTGAGATGAGGTATGGCACATTTGAAGCTTCTTATGATAATTTGCCTCGTTTGTTAGCCACCATTGCCCAGAGGAATAATAATACTTACTATGACCTACATACATTTACATCGGTTGAAGATAGAACAAAGAGTGTGCTGCAAAGAGCCTTTTTCTCATTGGGTGCTTGCATCAATGCTTTTGTGCATTGTCGACCTGTTCTATGCATAGATGGAACTTTTATGACAGGTAAATACCGAGGTCAGATATTGACAGCAATTGGGTGTGATGGGAACAACCAGGTTCTACCTATGGCTTTTGCATTTGTAGAGAGTGAGAACACTGAAAGCTGGTACTGGTTCCTAGAGAGAGTGCACATTGCAGTGGTGCGTATGAGGCCCAACGTTTGCCTTATACATGATCGTCATGCGGGTATGTTGCGGGCTATTGACTACTTGCAGAACGGTTGGGATGAGAAGGGACTTCCAGCTAAGTGGCCTGATGTTCGGAGTCGGTGGTGCATGCGTCACATGGGTGCAAATTTCTACAAGCAATTCAAGAACAAGCATCTTATGGAGCTCTTTAAGAGGCTCTGTGCACAGAACCAAGAGAAGAAATTTAATGAGTTGTGGGACAAGTTGGATGAGTTGACAACGAAGCAAACAGATGAGCAATCTCGCAGACCACAAGTTGAAGGTGACGAGCCTCCCATACCTCTTGGTGCATTACATGATGACCCACCAACAATGAGAAGGAGGTCAGGGTCGGCCATCAGAAATTTCTCTCAGTGGATTGAGAATGAGCCTAAGGAGAAGTGGGCTCTATTGTTCGACACCGATGGATCTCGGTATGGCATAATGACAACCAATTTGGCAGAGGTGTACAACTGGGTAATGCGAGGAGTTCGGGTACTTCCATTGGTTGCTATTGTTGAATTCATCCTTCACGGCACGCAAGCCTACTTT